GCCGTGCCAGCGCGCCACAGGCACGGGGCGGGGGGTCTCCCTCGCCCTCCTGCAGTATCCCTGAGCAATCCAAGCCAAAACATTTTCACCTGTCATGCAAAGGCAGAGAGAGAGAGAGAGAGAGAGAGAGAGAGAGATGGTCAAGCTGCCTCCCCCACCTGTGCCTCCCAAGGGCTTTGAACTACCACCCCCATCAGGGCCAGGCAGGAGTGGTCAGGAGTGCTGGGAACTGGAACCCCAAACAGGCGGAGGGGGCCAATTTGGAGAAGGCTGCTTTCGCATGATGTCTTCCTCACCACCCCCTTACTTCCTAAAGTGCAGGTGCCTGATCTGGATCAAGACCCTTGTACAGTGAGATAACTGGGTGCTCGTCCTTTCCATCCCGCTGCTGTGGACCTGAGCTGCACCAGCCCCGCTGCAGGTACTCCAGAGGAAAAGGCAAAGAGGAAGGAAAGCGGGAGGGGCAGGCGATTCGGTCTTCCTTCCACACTGGGGATGAGGTGGCCGCCTGCACCAAACTGTAGGAAGGAGGCTTGCTAACGGACTACTTCTGTCCTCCAACATCTGGGGGACAGAAGCCTGGCATGTAAGGGTCCTTTTTAGCCCCTGAATAGAACAATCCTTTAGCCCCTGAATATAATGGTCCTTTGCCCCTCACCACCAGTGGGGCATGGTGGTTAAACTGTTGTACTGGGGACCTGGGAGATCTGGGTTCGAGCCTCCAATCAGCTCCAGAGCTGGCTGGGTGGCTTTGGGCCAGTCACTCACTCTCAGCCCAGCCTACTTCACAGGGCTGTTGTTGTGAGCAGAAGATGGAACTGTGTAAGCCACCTTAGGTTCCTTACACGAGGGGAAAAGGCAGGATAAATGCAAAGCAGCAACAACAACTCATAGCAGCCTAATTGTATCATTTCAAGTGCAAAGCCACATTGCTAGAGAAGAACCACCGAATGTTCCCCTCGCCGCAGCCCCCGAGGGCAGGCAGCTGCCATGATACCAGGGCTGGTCCTGCTCTCAGGACCAGGAGAGCTGGTCCGCTGCCTCTTTTCTGTCTCTCTTGGCAGCTGCCAAAGGCTCGGCTTCCCCAGCAGAAAGGGAGCGGCCAGCACCTTCCACCAACTCTTCGGCGAGCTTCTGCGCTCCCTCTGCTCCTCGCCCCCTCCCTCCGCACTCTCGCCTTTCTTTTCCTCCCTCTCTGTCTGCTTGCATGTACAGAAAGGGGCCGTTCTGCATTGACTTTTTTGTCACTGTTAACCGCATCCGGACTCTATTAAAGTTCCTGGCGCTGGATAAACAATGTAACTGTCGCGTGCAGCAGTCTGAAAATAATTGGATTAGCTAAAACGTATCAGCTAAATAGAGACAGTCCTTGCTCAGACAGTCAGAGTAAAAATGTCACCCTGGAAAAACCCTGAAAACTGACATGACTCACGCTGGACGAATCTTGCCGCAGCCCCAACGGGGAAAGGGAAAGAAAAATAATGTTTGACTGATGCCAGCCTCTGTTTAACTTGCAAACAACCTTAGGTGAATGGCGTGTGTTCTGCAGCAAGCCCCGTTCCTTTCCATGCTGCAGTCAGCCAGGGCTGGGCCCTGAAGGGGAACGGCCGGAAGTACCTGCAGCATCCCAGGGGCTGCAGATTAAGGCTTTGGCGAAAGGCACCGCTGCAGTGGCTGCCTGAAAGGCTGGTCGTCTTGCTCCCCAGCCCTGAACAAGCTCTGCCACAAGCAATGCTTCCCCCGGGAGCCACAGAATCCCCAACCATTCCCCTGAACGCAGAGCGCCACTGTGGCGCATGGTTCAGAGTGCCAGGCTGGGAGTCAGGCAGCCCAGGTTTGCATCCCCGCTCACTTTGGGCCAGCCACAGACTCTCGGCCCAACTCACCTCACAGGGCTGTTGTTGTGAGGGTAAAATTGAAAGGAGGAGGAGCAGAATTAGGTCAACTGCCTTGACTCCCCTGAAAGGAAAACGGGTGGGATATAAATCTAATAAATATAGAAATGCTTTGGAACAAAGATACCTAGGTCTGCCCGATAAACACGGATCAAGCCACACTGGAATGTGGCCATTTATAAGGAGAAAGTGCATTCTGCTTTCTAGCAACCACACTTTGGATCACGTCCTCTGTGAGTGAAGTCTCTTTCCATAAAGATCTAAACTCAGATCAAAAGAATATTTGGGGGGTAAATCAAGCCATCTAAACAAAACTTCCCATTCCTAGCTTGTTCCGTCCTCATGTGCCACACACACACACACACACACACACACAGGGGGGGGGGGGGGCCAGCCACAAAAACCAACTTCGAAACACCAACATAAAAGAAAGTAGCCCTTGGGATCTAGGAAAAAGAGATGGGAAATATGGAAATAGGAAAAATTGCTACAGTTCCATCCCATGTTCTTGACTTCTTTGCATAGGGAAGCTACTGAACCAATGAATAACATTTGCAAAACACATCAGGTTCGCATAGTCCTTCCACAACACCACACATTCACATATACACTTTATGTATATATCCCTTGCATCAGCTCCCCAGAAACATTTGAGTTAGCAGCCTGCTTCCAAGTAGGAATCTAGCAAAAGTTTCCGAGCTGCATAAGCAGTCTAGGAATGGTCTAACTCAAGAGCAAGGAGGGAAATTCATGAAGCATCCAAGAAAAATAAAATGAAGGAAGATCCTGGAAGATGTGAATCCACCATGCCCATTTCAGCTAAAATGCTAACATGTTGTCTAGTCACTAAACAGATCCAGAATGGCATCTGCACAGTTGAAGCTGGTTTGACCAACACCTGATGCATCTCCTCTAAAGAATGTGCATTTTGGTTAAGAGGATCAACTGACTCCAGGAAATTAAACCAGTCCAATCTGATTGTGTGTCTTTAAGAGCAGCTCAGTCCAAAGAAACTACCAGCTGTGACATTCCACCACAGGGACGGAACCTGGACACTTGCTAATGTACACACCAACTTGCAGCTCAAGGCACACCTAAAGAACCAGGTTAAAGAGCTGGCAACTTGATCATGGGTCTGGCATGTGGTGGAAAGACTGGGCTAGGCTGCACTGAATACCTTCATCCCACAGGGCCCAACAGCCACACATGGCCACACATGAATCAAAACAGAATCCACATTGGTGGTGCACAATTTGGATAGACGATATTGAGTACACAACAGAGCATAGCAATACAGAATATTTGGCTATACAGAATTTGGTAATCCCCACATGCTCACACACCCCCATGAACCTCCAAGCCACCCTCCATGCTAAACATGGGGGTGATGTTTAAACGTAAACCCAATCCAGCTCTCTTCTCCTATGCCCCAGGATGCCAAACAAAATAAAGAAGGGAAGGAAATGACCTGTAAGATACAGAAAGCATCTTTAATGAGCACCACCTTGTACTAAACACCCTGAAAGCATGGCGGCAGCAGAGGAGGGGTGTGTGGGATCGTAAAAAGAAAGGCTTTAATACAGGGGCGGGGGGTTGATCCTAAAAATGGGGGGAACTGCATCCATTGTCTAATATATTTATTCAGACATCAATCCGGTTAATTCCATGTACTCCCATGTATGCATTCCTACAGCGCCGTTTAAGCCAACACTCAGCTGAAAGCAAGTTCGACAGCAAACACAGCAGTGTCCAGATAAAATGTGCTAAAGATCACAGACATGGCACTCAGAGAGCACTGAGTTTGGATCAGTGGGAAGGCTTTTTCCTACCCCACGTTCTGTTCCCAACAAAGTTATAAGAACTTCTAAAATTAAGACAATTCACATCATTTGGGAGGAGGAGCAGGTGCTTTCGATGAGTCCCAAGAACTGAAAGTGCCCGTACTTGGAAGCAAGCTGTCTTGTAACCAATGGGACTTAACCTTTGCTAAGTGTACCAGCCCCTTCTCTTGTCATAACAGAAGCATGAGAAAGCACTTTCATTTACTGGAGGTGAAAATAATCTGGAGGGGGAGGGAAGGCCCCATCAGCCTAGCAAAGTTAAGCCAGCGTAGCTTGGTGTAGCCAGGTTGCAGATAGGAATGGGCTGCTCAGAAGAAGCTGATTTTTCTCTTGCAAGAGCACTTGATAGAAAATAATAATACCAATGAAAAAATTGATCACTTCGTGAGGAGGGAAATTTGTGGGCTGCCTTGGGTGCCTTACACAAGGAAGAACAGCGGGATGTAGATATAAGATAATAATAACAAAAATAATACTGGGAACATCCCCTTCAGGTATCTGAAATGATAACATCTCCTGCGTTTTCTGGAGAATCTCTTATCCAGGCAGTATGAGATGGGTGGCCAGATACAAAAGAGGACCGGGTTCTATGTCCTCATCGGGAGTGTAGAAGAGAGAATTTCAGCAGGCAGAATTTGTCATGCCAGCCAGATCTCCAATTCTACACTGCTGGAAAAGAGGCAAGGATCTCTCTTCGGTTCCCTTTGCAACTGCCTCCACCCCCAGTAAGAAGGCAGTCCACAAGCAGAATGGGCTGGGGGCCAGGAGGCCGGCAAATGATCTTAGCAAATAACCATCTCAGGAAGAACATCTCTCACCTTGGTAAGCTTAAACTTCTGTTTGTTCAAGGCCTGGTTGGGAGGCTAGCAGAAGCCCCATCTAGGCTTCTGTTCCAGCCCACCCCAGCCAAAAAAAAAAAAAAAAAAATACCCCAGCATTGTGGAATGCTATGTTACCATCTTTTGGGATTCTGATATATCTGCTCTCTTTGATGATCTTCTTATCACAGAGTTTGATCTCTGCTTATGTGTGTCATAGATAGAGAGCATTTATATCTTTATATGTTACATAGAGAGCATTTTGTTGGTGCGGGCTTCATTTTGCTCATAATCCACTCAGCCCCCTAGCTGCATCGGAAGGGCTTTTGCATTGGGTTAGCTCCACTCAAAACCCATCAGAGCTCCGTTCACACAGACACGTCCCCCCAGCCTTTGGCATCTGCTTGACACAACCTAGCCCCAGAAGAGAAGGTTACGAATCCTACCTGTGCTGGAACGTGCTTTAGGTCTGGATTTGCACCCAAATCCAGTCGGCGACCCCCCTAGCAGGCTGCTAGGGGGGAAGAGTCCAGAGCCATATTCAGGGACATAGGAAGGGTAGGTGGAGATGGGGTGGTGAGCTGAGGAAGAGGCTCCCCCTAGTGAGGCCATGCTGCTCCGGGAATGGGAGGACTCCAACTTCATGGTGTCAGCCAGAGACACCTGGTACTTAATGCATTCCTTCTCTTCTTGCCGGCTGGATCCGGTGGAACCCGGGGTGGAAATGGAGGGGTCCGGGGATACATCTTTGGGAGGGGTTGGTGGGAAGGTGAACAGGTGTGGGCTGGAGTGGCCTGCAGACAAAGTAGAGGATGACGCCGGAGGGTAGACAGAGAGAGGTCCAGGCGAGCTATGGTGGATGGGAGTCTTGGAGAAGGGAGCCAGGTTCCAGGGGGAGGCGCTGTGGTGGCTTCCCAGTGCTTTGCTCCCATCCAGCCAAGGGAGAGAGCCGTGCAGCAAAGGCGGGCGACACACCTGGCCACCTGCTAGGACAGAAAACAAAACAGAGCCTAGTTAACTGACTTCTCCAAGTAACAGAAAGAGAGAGACTGGCACACATCCTCCAGTACGGATCCAAGTCAAACTATGCTTGAGAATCATTGGTGCAGCTGTGCCTGGACCTTGAAGCCAACGTCCAGGTGAAGGAGGCAGGCAAACATGAGCCGAATGCTTCAGACCCGTGGCTATTTAAAGGTGGCTTCATCTGACCAGGAAGTCCAGGGTCTAGAGTTACCTTGCTGCACCCTGGGGACAATTCATAGCCAAGGGTAGCTCGAGATGTTTCTTTGGGTTCTTTGTTTTCTCTGGGTTGCTCTTTGTTTGCTCCTGTGCAAACTGGATTTTGCTACCTGCTCCTCAGCAGCCACCCTTTGGGCATGATCCAGCCCTAGGAAGGCATTTGAAAGATTTCAGTGAAGGGGTTTTTATGGATGTGTGGGACTTTCCTGTTAAAATTAACAGCACCTCCACTTGGGTTGGACTGTGCCCCTTGTGACTTCTCTGACGCTGGGCAGCAGAATGCGTTTTGGCATTTGTCTGTCCGTCTTGACTTCAGCCATACCTGTGTGCCAGGTAGCTCTCAGTCACATCCTCTGGAACAAGGGCATCCCACCCACAATGGGCTCTGTGGCCCCTGTGTGCCTCTTCCGAAAATACGAGCATCACAAGGCGGCTAGCCAGACGCTGGGGACCCTGCTGGTTGCCTCTCCTCTTGGCCTGCCCCGTTCAGGACAGAACTTTTATAATGCACCAAGTATCAATCTACGTCCCCAGCAAGGTGACACTTATAACCCAGTGGACAGGGAATCCTCACCTTCTCTACTTAGAAATAAGTCCCACTAAGTGCTGTGGGAGAATTCGCTAACTGGAAGGAGTCCAGACCCATAGCTGTGATTTGGCTCAAATTGGGAGGAGCTAGGGCATGAGGTTTGGGGAGTTAATCAAGGTACCATCCTACTTGCTTCCCCACCATTCCTAGAGTCCAAGACTCTGTTTCAGTATCTGGGCTTAGCACAGATACCATAATCCCAAATATAACAGGACCCCAGGAATGCAAAGAATGAAGAACACAAGCAGTGCACAAAAGTTATGCGCTGGTACATGAAAACAGCCAGACGCATTTCAATAATACTTTAGTAGATCTGAGATATTGGAAGCTTTGCCTTCAGGTGACTCTGTTCAAAACAAAATCTGATGAGCAATCAACATATACCAATAGTCTGTGTTGTGTGCTTTGCTTCTCTCTTATTTTGGGTTGTGTTTTCTCAGTACACTTCAAAGTTCACCTTGTTCAAAATCTGTACACAAAAAGGAACATGTGTGATGTGGTCGGTTTGGATGAGGGAGCTCTCAGAAGGGAATCTGACTTCTGACATATATTTACCTAGGAGAGAAACTCAGTTCCGGTGGGAGTATTTGAGCTCAATGAGAATGAGATGTATATTAAATTCAGGATGAGATGTATATTAAATTCAAATAAACTAGCCAGAAATTATCTCCAGGAAAGCAGATGAAGGTCAGGATTAATCCCAGGAGCAAACTTCCCAGCACTCAGATTGTAGTTTTATTAGTGGTATGTACACTTATTCCATAAGTGGCGCTCACTGCTACTTGAAGGTTGTAAGATTTGGGGCATGTAAGTGGGTCCTTAGCCCCTCTGAAATGAACCCTAAGCACCAATCAGCAAGCAAGCTGCATTGGTTTCAGGGGCATTTCAATTTTTTTCCAGTTACACAAACACACAGGTTTTTGTACACTTACAGTAGACATGACCACACAACCCATTTCTCTCTACCTTTTGAATATTTTGCAGTAAGGCTCATTTAATTCAATGGGACATTCCTCCTGTATGCTTAGACATTCATTTCGAGTCCCAGGGCTAAACATAAAAATTCAAAGGCACTTCCCACCAAGTTAAACGGAACAAGGTTTGCTTCATCTCGAAGCAAGTTCCAATGAAAACAGGATGCCTTCTTAATGACAGCCCGTTTTAAAAACAAAATCACTTGAAAGTAATTCCCTCAGATTTGAATGGAATTTGAGGCCTAATTCATACATTCTACTTTTTTGTGCATGACTAAACAGCCTGCAGAGAGCAGCTGCAACAAACACAACACGGGTCATAAAGACCTGGCCAACTTTTCGGTTGGATGCGACCACTGGACCTTCTGACATTGTAGAGACCCCGGCAGGTGATCCAAACACCAGTTTCCCTCCTTGGAAGGGCGAAGGGAGCTGCAGGACCTCACCTGTTGGTTTCAGGAACCTTGTTAAAGGTAGGGAAGCAGAGCAGCTCACTTCCTTTCTCACCTGCTGAGTAGGAAGGAGAGCCAGGACTGACTGGGTAACAGACCAGAGCGTGACTCTGCCCTCCCTTCATCTCCTGGGTTCTACACATGAAGGCAAAAAGACCTCCTTCCTATGCATGGCTACCTGGAAGAGAGAGATCTCCCCATAAGCCTGCATAAGTCCACCTGAAGCCTTGCTCGGTGCAGAGTAAAGAGAAAAATCCACCTGCCCAGACTCTGGATTTGACTTATAAGGCAGGGAATCAGGCCCTAAACTATCTAGGCCGATTGTTCTCTGGTTGCATTTGCACTGGGGTTTTCTCTCCACACACACACACACACACACACACACACACACACACACACAGAGAGAGAGAGAGAGAGAGAGAGAGAGAGAGAGAGAGAGAGAGAGAGAGGGAGATCGCTTGTCCCTCCCCACTGCCTGCATATGGCCAAATCCTCCCTGAAGGTCCTTTCCACCAATGGACCCTACCCAGCCGCTTCACCCAGGGCTCAGGAGGCCAGGGGAAATAGCGCAGCACCGTAGCAAGAACTCTGGGGATCCGCAAGAAAAACCAGCCGGTTAGGCCGGGAGGGTTCGGCTTCCAAGCAGCTCCAAAGCAAAACGCGTTCACGCTCCTGCCTTCGCAGCCGGAGGTTTGGCTCCCTCCGCGCTAGCAGATTCGCTTGGATCGGAGGTCAGGTGCGCGCGCGCGCACCCCTGCAGCGCGCTGTTCCCTACTCGCAAGTAATCCCCCCACGACGCACGGCGCAAGGCGTGCGCTCAAGTCCCAGGCCCTCCAGTGGGGACTGCCTTCCGAGTAAACCTGCTTAGGATCGCGCTCAAACGGCAATCCGGGGCAGGCTTTCTTGGAAGCAAGCGTCCCTGCCCGCAGCGGAAAGTACGGCTGAGTCAAGGTGCCCCAGTGCGGCCGCACCTCCGGGTGAGTTAAAAGGAGAACTTGCCCCAGGTGTGATCCTACGCACTGCGAGGCATGGAAAAAAGGACTCCATCCCCCTGCATCCCCCAGCCGGCTGGCAGGCAGAAGGAGTACCTTTTCCTGTCCCTTTTTCATTTCTTGGAACTCCTGAAAAGTTTCTTCCAGACTGTAGCCGCTCCACTTCCAAGAACGTCTACTTGCAATAGACATCTAGTAGGGGCACGTATTTCCTGGAAGAGGGTCCGGCTGGATTCCGCGCTTGAAATCGAATCGCCATTTTTGTTGCGTTTGATGGAGGTTTCTGCCCAGTGAACGCACAGAGGAGGACAACTTCGGGATCGCAACTGGAGTCCCGTTGACGTCAATGGACTGTATCTTAGATGAATCTGCGCACGACTTGGGGGGCGGCCCCCTCCCCAGTCTAATTTGTTGCGATTATTTAAATGCAAGGATTTGAAGGAATGAATTCCAAATGCATGGGTTTATGGACCACCGCACAGGAAAGGTAGTTTTCCAGTGCCTTTGGAAACCATTCGTGGGCAAACCAAAGCTGAACATCACGAAAACAATTCTTGATCTCTCCGTTCTAAATCGAACCTAATTAGACTTAGTTTTACATCGAATCAGTTTTGCTCACACAGAATTGTGGAAGAGAGGCAAAAGTTTCCTGGCTCGGTCTGCAGTGGTTTTTACACAATAAATTTGTCCGGATCCTGTTTTCCGCGGCAGACTGCCACAGAAGCAAGCCCTTCTTAAACTCAGCAGATCTAATTTTTGCTGAAACAGCCCCAGTTCAGCCTGAAATCAGAGAAAATCTTGATCTTCACACATAACTTTCTGGGACCAGAATCCCAATTCATTTCAGTTGCTTTAGTTATCCAAAGTTAGGATCTGGGACTCCAGGCTGTCTACTGCCAAAACCCCATGCACCAACCCTGAACAGATATAAATTAATTTGTATCCAGAGGATTCCTCTCTAATCACCCTAGAATGTCCAGCTAAATCACTGGGAAATAATTATTCCTAATAAATGTTTAGAGTAAAATATAATGTCAACCTATTTCACCAATACTCGCCCTGTGAATTGTAGGTTTAGATAGCTAGATGGAAAGACAACAGAATTTCCTTAAGATTGGACTTTTCTTTTAAATGCATTTTCTGTTAACCCCCCTGAACTGCAGTATAAACAGGAAAAGGATCCTAACCAGATCAGTTCAGTCCCAATGAACCTAAGGACAAACCAAGCTGCCTAAATTCCGTATTGCTTTGGATAACTTGGGTTGTGTGGATGCGGTTGTCCAAAAAGGGTTGAAACGGGTGGCATTCACAAACCACACGAGAGAGCCCCACTGAGTTAGCAGGTCATGTGTGAATGTCGTGGATAAGGAACTGTTAAAAGAGGACGATTTTATTTTTAATGAAGTGGCTGTTTGCAAGTAATAAACGAAATTAAAGCACACACTGCCACAACACAAATCGCATTCCAACCGGGTTTAATCCTAACGTGTAAAAACGCTCTTGGGCAGGAAATAGGAGACACACTCATGTCCACGCTGGATCAAAGGGATTGCTTGCAATTTAGAGCGGGAGGGGGAAGGCGCTCACCATATTTTGCAAGAGCCTAAAAGTTGGGCAAGGCTTACTAATCGGAGATGGATATCGCTGGCTTAGATGGCAGGAGCTCCAAAAATGTAGAATTCAGCTCTGGACTTTAAGCAGGATTTCTTTTTTCTCCCACCCATCCGAAAACATCCATTTTTTTAAAGCCCTTTGATTTTCTACTTTGGAAACCACTTCTGATGATGCCCTGAAGATCAGGAGGAATTGGGAATATATTAGTTCAGCTGATAAAGTTTAGGAGATCAGGATAAATTGGTGTCCGACTCCCATTCTGTATCCTTCATTCTACTGCTTTCTGTCTACATTTAAACCCTACGCTTTTCAGCCTGAACATTTGTCCTAGTCCTCACAAAACAAAACCAAACAGAACAAAAACAATCCAAGCAAAATACGCCTTTCTTAAGCCAAGGCAGGACTTGTTTTAAGGTCACACAGAACACCACAGGTGGAATGCAAAAATCAAATACTACTGGCCACAAAGCAGACACCGCCATCGTGTTCTTAGCCCCTCTTGGCTTCCACCGGACACGATAAACCTGCAAGTTTCAGTGCTACGCCTGAAACTTAGAAGCAACCAAGTAGGCCGCATATCCACCTAAACGCTCTCCCTGAAATGAGTGTAGAAAGACAAGACTGCAGCTTCCCCAATTCCTCTCTTGTTGACATTCTGCTTGAGAAAGAGCTCTGTGTCACTCCCAAACTGGCAAGCCAGACAGTGAAGTTAGATAGGTCTTAACAAGGTCTCTTTGTTTTCTCCCTGCGACTATTCAGTGCAGCCTCAAACAACCTAATGCAACAATGTCCCAGTGAGACAATTATATTGCTTCTTTTCCCTGACAGCTTTAATTCGTACTTCTCAGCCCCAAGGCTTGCAAGTCATTACATCTTTTTCGGAGCTGTATTTTAGAACATGGTAGGGCAGTTCGTTCTTTGCCCCCCTTCCCGTATTCTTTTCTAGTTTTTTCAGGCAAAGCCTCTCTCTCTTTCTCTCTAGTGCTAATTGAGTGGTTTCAAAATCACTGTCAATGGAGGCTATTGTGATTTTCATGGGTGCTAGTATCAATATATATGTTTTTAAATCAGAGAGGACAGGCGGGGTGGGTAGGAGACCCTCAAACTTTCTGTAGGGTAGAGCGCAGGTGAGGGAATGTAATCTTTAAGTATTTAGCCAGAATTTTTACCATGGCAAAATTCTGAAATCCGTTGCATTTCTGGGCTTACACCCTAAGTATCATGGAGTACATGTGTTTTGCACCAGGAATGGGCATATATCACGACCATGCCATTCGGAAACTGAAGGATTACAATATCAGAGCCACGATCCACCTAAACTTTAAGCGCTTTTAAGACCACAGGTAATCCCCACTGGCAAAGCTGGGGAGGCAGAGCACGGGCGGGTTGCTCAGTTTAAGTCTCTGTCAGGTTTTCAGATACGCTTTAGCTCTCGAAAAGAGCCGTCTTAAGAATCCTGTTAGAAGCCAGGAGGAATTTAAAGGTGCTGGATCATGCCCACTGAATTTCCCCTCCACGCACTCGCATGCTAACTTCACCACTGGCCATAAGCCAGCTAAGCCAACTAAAAATTGTGGTTTTTTATTATTTTTCCTATTTAAGGTGTGATCTCTCCAGGTTTTACCGAGAGTAACCCTCTCTGGCCTTCAGGAAACTTCTTCCATATGTCTGGTTAGGTTTGAAGCCCTAGAACACAATCTTGCGTCTACCTCTTCAGAAGTAAGTCCTACTTCAATGAGACTTTCGTCCAGGTAAGTTAGGGAAGAATTACAGCCCTAATTAGGTTTCTTTGGAAGGGGGTTTTGCTCTCAAGTGCTTCGGATTCAAGAGTCCCATATTCCTTCTCATAACATTTTTACATAAGATACGTGCTATTTTCATGGAAGTTGCTGACGGCTGATCTCCAGGCACAAAGAGTTTCTTATTTTATGTCATTTTATTTTGTGGCCTGCGTAGCTTGCAGACTTACTTAGGAGCAGTTCCCACCGCACCAAGGTATAAGGGGCAGGCAAGCGAGGCTGTTACTTCCTAAGTAAAGCACGCCATAGGATCGAGGCGCGTGGAATCTCCGATCTGACTCGCGCAGCTTTTTTGGCGAGCAGGCCAGAGAAAACGGATTACCCTACAGAAAGGCCATCTCTGCAGGCAGACCTCGTGCTCAGAGCCTTTACCAGAAATGGCTTTGCTCTTGTCAGTTTGCTAATGGCTTGTGCTGGTTGCATTAAATCAGCAGTTTAGAAGATCAAGCACGCAGAAGCGGGGAGGAAAGCGACGCTGTCTCGGCGCTCTCTCGCCTGCCTCTCTCTCTCTCTCTCTCTCTCTCTCTCTCTCTCTCTCTCTCTCTCTCTCT